CTAGCTTTAAATTACTAGAAATTAATAGTCCAATTACATTCCTCTTTCAACAGGCTTCTTTTAAGCGTGACCTTTGAGTATTACCTCTTGATTTGTTTGATATAAAATGCCAAGAAATTTTCACCACGAAAAGTAACGATGACACAGAGTTTTTAGCTTGTATGTTTTTTCTTAAATATATTTTTATTGTAATTTGTGCTTAATATGATATACTCATTCAAAATGATCGGTGTTACAATTTGTAATGCTCCCTTTTTTTATAAATCATTTGCATTAGCGGGTGGTGTGTAATCAGAAAAATAAAGTAATTTTTCTTGGCAAAGCACATGATCGCCAATTACCATTAACTCGATATGTTATTGGCCATTAATTATAATTATACAGTGTACCTTGAAGTATTAGTTTTTGAAGTCTTGGAAGGTGATGCCTCAGTAGGTGATTCCTTTATACTGCTGTAAGTTTCGGTAGTAGGTGTACCGCAAGATAGTAATCCATAAACTCCTCTGTTATACAAAAATAAAGGCGTTAAATATATAAAGCAAATAATATGCATTAAACTCAAAATCTAAAACTTATTACAGATGTTATCTAAAATACACAACAAAGTTTTATTCTTTATTTTTAAGGATTATCGACAAGTTGGTCACGTGGGGTGAAAAAAGTGTAAAATCATATTTGTCACGCCTTATTTGTCACATGGATAATTTACTAATGCCGTAATGCCGGCCAAATTCACGCGGGGGTGAAAAATCTTGTCCCGAATGTCACGTGTCACATGTCTCGAAATCTCAAAAATAGCAATTTACGTGAGTAATGAAATTAGCTAATATTTTCTTTTCATCTCTTTTTTTTTTTATCTTGGTAATGTATTCTATATCAGCATCATCTTTGCTAAAACCTCGTAAGTTTAACCCTTTTTTGCATCGTCATACATTCAAATTCACTGAAAGCTGATCCTTTTACCAATTTAAATTTTTCTGTTAATTTTATTAGGAGTTGGACATTTTGGTGTTATTACTTGTAAAACGATATGTGTTCCTATATATAACCAAAAGGTACACCGAATTACATGCTAAATCTTTTATTTTCAAATATTGATGAATTTGATATTTAATATTAGCGATTTGCTCACGATCTTATCATAAGGAAAAAAACTGGGAAACCTATTATTAAATATGGTCCAGGAGGTCGGTATGTAATTAAAGATTTTTTTTTCTTTTGCTATAAAGTTTGTGCGTTAATTAAAGATTTTTTATATAGTTCTTCGGTTAGTGGACATATAGCAACTGTATTTGGATGTACTGGGTTTTTGGGTCGCTATGTGGTCAGTAAACTTGGTAAATCTTCAATTTTGTGCTTTTACTTGTAATGTTATTATTATTATTTTTTATAAAGTGAAAAAATTTTTATGAATGCTCGTCTTTAAACTTTTAATTTCTAATAATAGCAAAACATGGAACTCAAGTTGTTGTACCCTATCGTGACGAAGATTCAAAAAGGCATTTAAAAGTTACAGGAGATTTAGGTCAAATCGTTTCCACGGTAAATAATTGATCAGAATTTTGAGTTATTATTTTTTTGGAAGAAATGGAATGTTTATTATCATTTATTTTTAATAGGAATTTGATCTTCGTAATGAACAAAATATTATTGAAGCGGTTAGGCATTCTGATATCGTTTATAATTTGATAGGAAGAGATTATGAAACAAAGTAATTATTAGTAATTTTTTAAATAAATTAAAAAAATTTTTAATAATGGTTTATTGATTCGTTTCAAGGAATTTTACTTTTGAGAAAGTCCATATAGAAGGAGCAGAAAGGATTGCAAAAATTTGTAAAGAACTTGGAGTATCAAGGTTAGTTCACATGTCGGCTTTAAATGCTGATGTTAACTCACCATCAAAATTTTTACAATCAAAGGTAAATATTAAGGATAATCTGGTCATTTGTGAATTATTTTAATCATTTTTTTTCGTTATAGGCTTTGGGAGAAATAGCTGTTAAAAAACAATTTCCTGACGTAACTATAGTCCGTCCTGGATATATGTATGGTTCTGAGGATAGATTTTTGAATAGATTATCAGGTTGGTAATAATTTATCGGTTTAAGCTTATTTATATTAATTAATATTTGGAATTTGAAAACATAATATTTTTTAGTGTTTTCTTATGAATTAATGGTTAACCACGGAGAAACGTTGTTTAGGCCAGTTAATGTATGTAAATAAATATATATGTATCAATTTAAATTATGTATAATAACATAACCTCTTACATTATAGGTACTAGATGTAGCAACAGCATTAGAAATTATGTTAAAAGATGAAACAACAATTTCTTCAACATATGAATTATGTGGAACAAAAGCATTTAGTATTGAAGAAATTTATGACATAATAGATGATATTATGTTAAGAAAACGCACAAGAATTAACGTACCCAAACCAATTGCATTGGCTATTACAAAATTATTAGCTTATTTACCTTGGCCGTATTTAACACCCGAAGATATTGAGAGATATTGCATAAGTGATAAGTCTGGTAAAGGAATAATGGGCGAAATAGTAAAAACTTTTGGTGATTTAGGTATTCAACCTCTTGAATTTGAAGATACTGCTATTCACGTCGTTAGAAGATTTAGAAGTAATATTTATTTTAATCAACCTATGGATAAAAATGTTGGTAGGGTTAAAAAAGGTGTTTATTATGTTGAATACTAGAAACAGATTGTACCAACTATATTAAGAAAGGATTTTGAGACTAATTTATTGATATATATTAAATTGTGTAAAATAAATTAAAAAACTTTTTTTTAACAACTAATGTAATTTGGTTTCTTTTAAACACGTTATGATGATCTATAAATAGAAATATTCATCTGCTAATGTTTGATTTATTATGTAAGAAATGGCTCTTGTTTAATTGAATGATTTTTTATTTGCTAATGGGTTTGAAAGTAAATTGACTACGGGGTTAAAATTAGACCTTATTAAATTAATAATTTTCATTAAGAAAAGAGTTTAGTTAAATTTGATTTACCCAAAATAGGCAAAGAAATATTAATTATTATTATATTATAATGTTATTACAAGTAGTAATGTCTATGAGATTGGATAATTAATTTACATTCCAAATTGATTGCATTAAACGATTTCTGAAAACCTAATAATTAATTAATGTTCATAATACACATATATTTATCATACTTAACCAAGGTACCTTAAATCTGTTTTTCCTTCCCCTTTGATATCTTTTTTTGAATCTCAACGTTATTTATATTTTGTTTAACATGATCCAACAATTCTCTAATATCAGAGAAGTATTTCAACATATACGGACTATTGGCTGGAAGTACCTTATCGGAATGTGATAATATCAACTAATAAAAAAATGATGATAATTAATAATATTATTATATGAGAATATTCTATAAATGTCTTAATAACCATTCTTACTTCCAAGAATTTTTTACTGCTTTCCTGATGATCAAATATACCAACAAAATCACTAAGCTTTATACAAAATTATTAGTTAAATTAGATTTTTAAGCAAAGATACGATATTAAAAATTTGTCATATGCATACATTCCATTTGCTTACCCTATCATGAAATTTGTTTAAATCACCACCATTGTTAATATAATCATTGATATATTTCAATTTTTCTCTATCCAGCCTTGAAATTTTGACTTGACGCCAAAGTTCTTCGAAATCATCAAATTTTTCATCAGATTCCAAGTACGTTCTTTTAGGAATGATTGGCACTGAACCGTCTTTTACTCCCTTAATTAAGTTTGGTTGCATTTCAGTATCATATCATTTAATTTTAAAATTATACGGATTTCAAACATGGAATTTAAAAACTTGTATAACCTTTTTACGACGCAATCTTATCCACCGTCTTCGACGAACAAAGGAGCGGAGTGGCTGATAACACCCTAAAAATATATATATTTATGCATTTTCAGTAAAAGTTGATTAATTAAAGGTATCATTTAAGATAACTTACCATGCCAAGAAGAACTATGAAAATTAAAAGCATATTCCCATCCTTCTAAAAAATGAGAAATAATGTTACCAATAAAAAAAATAAATAAAAATAAATAAAAAGGTGGGTACCTTCATCAACGTCACCAGACATATCAATCAACCATTCTTTATGAACCTATATTAAAAGGAAAATATATTGATTCTGATATAAAATCAAAAAATCATATAGAAATCACTTACAACGCACGCACCCACTCCCAAGTTGGATCTGGCAACTGAAAATTATAGATATCCATTGGCGAATATCTAGCAACATCAAAAAACTAGATTAGCAAAACGAAGAATTTCAAACTTTTTTTCCCATAACATACTACTAGATTTGGGAAGTGTAAACTCAATACGTGATATTATGATAAGTACTTTTGTTTTCTATCAGTCCATGCGCTTGGATCAACTTGATTCAAAGCTTTAGAACTAAATTTTGGTAAGCCAAATAAGAATAGCCTATGATTTAAAAATATATAAATTTTAATAAAAAAAAAATGATATTGTGATATTATGATAGTGATTAGAATTACCCTCTTTGATTTTCATAAAGAATATCATAATCATGCTCTTTAGTCTTGGTTGTTTGTTCGTTTATAATTTCTTCATTCTTGTAAAGATAGAATCAAGTTATCCTCATCTCTAAAGTATTTACCTGCAAAAGGAAATACATACGTACCCCTTGTTCTCTTATAATCTTGATAGAGTTAAATTTCTTTAATTTTTTCGACCTATCCAGGTCAATGCCTAGATATGTAGAGGAAGGTTTTTCGTCAGTTTCCATGTGTGAAAGAAAAGTGGAACTTAAACCTTAAAATTTGAAGTATGTGTCACTTATTGCTATGTTGCATGTTTGTCATTTAAAGTTTAACCATTAACTTAGCCTTTTATAGAAATTCATACAATTTGCAAAGTTTATATACAAATAAAGTGTTTTTTAAAAATAAGAAAAAATTCTTTTAATTATGTCAAGTCCTTCTTCGCCTTCTGAATTGCACACATCTTTAATAGTTTCTCCGTCATTAAAAGATAAATACGTCACACATTCAACAACATCTACAAAATCTAGTCGTTTACGGTCATTTCATAGGATAAGAAAAAAGTTAAAGCGTATATCTTTCTTAGAAAATCGACGAATGAAGTTATTAACATTTATTACATTGGTGATTGTATCAACGGTATTTATAAAGGGGATATTAATTATTTCTTCTGTTGTGTCGTCATGGACTGATGACGTTTCCTCTCTTAATATCGGTAAGTTAGTTATATTTACAAGAAAAAAAAAATAAAAGTTGTTATCCTAATTTTTCTTTTTTCTTTTTCTTTGGGAATGTAATATGATATAGGAAAACAAAATTATTCACCGGTTAAATATTTAGGAATAAATCCGAATATATCAACAAGATTACCGGAAGGAGTTTCAATTTATCACATTACCAAAGAATTTGGAGCAGCAACTTTAGGAGAATTAGGACAAATAGTGACGGGGTTATCACAAGCACAATCAACAAATTCATCATTAAGCGTCAATGTAGTTATGCCATATTATTCATATTTAAGTAAATTATATAAGCCTCATAAATACGCACAACTAGCCATAAAAATTCGCGATAAAAGCGGTAAATGGGGGAATGTTAGATTTTTGGTTTATCGTACTTTGTGGAGTACTGCGGGGAATAATATCTTAACGAGTAATTCCGAGACGTCATCGGATATACTTAGTGTATTTATGATCGGACCAGCATCAAATATGATACCATTAAATACGGCATTTAAAGCGTCAAGTATAACAAAGATCAATAAAACAAATTCAAAATTACTCCCTGAATGGAAAGATTTATACTTTTGCAAAGCTGCCGCTGAGCTTATCGCGTATAGAAATACAATGATTGACACTTCGTTATTCGCCAAATATGAAACAAGAGGTGTAGATGTTGTACATGTTCATGGTTCAACCAACGCATTTATAATTGAATTTCTTAACCATATTAATAACGGTAAAAAATTTGGAAAGAAATCCCCCGCTATAATTTACACAATACATGATTATTTTGAGGAACAGATTTATTCTAATGATCTCGCGAATATTCAAAAGTTTATTGATTTTGACGTATTCCAACCTCAATATTTTCATAATAATCGGATGTTCATGTCAGGTTATGCGATTGATAACGCTCAAATGGTGACTTTTGTATCAAAAGATTTGGCAAAGGATATGGTCGAAGGATCAATGGACTTTCATCTTAAAGAATTTATTATACCAAATATTTTGAATAAAGCGAAATTGGGTCAATGGGTTGGTATAACGAGTGGGATAGATTTTAATTCTTACAATCCATTTAATAATACAATGTTAATTGAAAGTAACGCAAATTTTCCTAATAATATCTATGATTTTGATCCAGTTTTATTATACGCGGAGACAATTGAAGAATCTTCACAAGAATTAATTACAGTTTCGAAGCAAAGTGCAAAAGCGTACCTAATAAGAGAAGGATTATTGAGCAGAGATGATTTAAATAGACCTTTAGTATTATACGTTGGTGAATTTGAATATAATAAAGGTTTACAATTCTTTAAAGCCGCAGCCGAACTTTTGGTGGAAGTGGATGCAAAATTTATCATCATGGGAAAGAATAGTAATTATCCTTTAGAAAAGTTAAATAAATTATCCGCCAACGCTCCTAATCATGTTATCATAATAGATAACTTGGAATTTCAAAAAGAGTGGGGTATATTGTATAGGGTTGCTTCTGATATTTTGTTTATGCCAAGTTTAATGGAAAATTTTGGTTTAGTTGCCGCAGAAGGGTTATTGTTTGGTGCGCCTGTAGTTAGCTCTAGTGTTGGTGGTTTAAAAGAATTTTTAGTTAATAAGACTAAAGACGATGATAAAATTAAAATTGATTACAATTCTTATCTATTTGAATTGCTTGATAATCAAATAATTGGTTTGTCTCTAGACAATATGAAGTTGGCTTTATTAGAAGCTATTAATGATTGGAAAAGGATGAGCAAAGACATCAGAATAAGAGAAATCTTTTTGAGAAAATTAATTAAAGATGCTTTTAAACTAAGTTGGAATCGTTTTGAAGGTCCCGTTGAACAATATTTAAAAGTTTATAGAAAGGCTATGTTGCAAGTTCGAGATAAATTAGAAGAAGGATTAGAGGATTAAATGGAGACTAAGAAGGGTGAACGAGAATTAAACACTAAGAATTGTAAAAAAGACAATTTTTAGAAAGATTCATTGTATATATTTTATAAAAGTTGGTCTGTATTCATTCATTAACCCAAATAAAGAAAACAAAATAGACAACTGTCAAATCTAATACACAAAAAAAAATTTATGAAATATCTATTACACTAAACTTTATTTTCATCATTTTCAAGCAATACAGTTATTTACCAAATAAAAAGATAAGCAAAACTTTAATAACTCTTTGGACTGATTATATAATATCATTATTTTTAAATCAATATAAATATTGCAATTCAGATATAAAATCTCCTTGCTATTTAAACCATTTTATGAATATCTATTATTTTATATACCTTTTAGAATTTTTGAACATATTGATAAAAAAAAATTATTTATTATTATTTAAAAATATTAAGATTGGTTGATTTTTTTGATTAATTTTCTAATCAAATTAATTATATATAAATCAATATAATTTTTTAACATAGACATTAGTTATATATCTGTAAAATGTATTTACAATTGCAGTAGAAGATTTTGTACTATTAACACTTCATTCTACATCTCCTTCCTTCTTACTAATTGTATAACATACTATTAAATTTTGAATTATATTTAGATTTACATCTAATTTTTCATTTAAAAACCTCTGTTTCAACTATATACACTACCCTATCAAAAGTATCCGGTCAAGCTCTTTTTGATTTACTCATGATTTAATATAATAATATGCATATATATTTTTTTAAATGAATGTTACGATTTTAACGATTAAAATCAATATATGGTGCAAACAGCTTAGTCGCATCAAATGATTTTTAAGAATTTCAAAATGTAAAGGAATTTTTTTTAAACATATAATCATTAAAAAAAAATACGTTATTAAATAGTTTTTGATATAGTCTTTAATATTACATATTTTTTATTTTTATTTTATTATAAAAGTTTTTTGTAGTTAGGATTTTTTTAACATTAACTTTAATAGTAATAGCGGGATTTTCAGCGCCTCTGTCATCACATGCACGAAATATGATTGGTATGTATAAAGCACATGACAAAATATGATTGGTTAATCACGATTCAATAATTTTATTTACATGTCACCAAATTCTTCCAAAACATTTGTAGGAATACGACGATGAGACTTATACCGCTTAACCACAAAGACAGCTGCCTTACCCGAAAGTCCAAGTTCATAAGCACTTATGTAACGTGCAGAACAACATGCAAACCGACAAATTTTTGTTAGACTAACAGATTCTAATGCACGTGGTACAACCTTCTTAAGGTCCTTGAATGTATAATTGCAATGGAAACGTGAATACCGCTTTGCTTCTGCCCAAAAGGACTCGATATAATTAAGTTCACAGTAGAACTTCGGGCAGAACATATACATATGCCCTGCTGCCTCAATAACCTAAAAGATAAGTATTTTAAAAAAATGTTGTTAAATTGAATAATTAACTTATTAACTGTAGCTTACCTCTTGTATATGTATCTTTTGTGATGCAAAGTCAGGTTGGGCAGAAAGGATACATGATGCGTAACAGTCTAGATTAATTGGATCGGGATTATGTTACATACATGCGCTGCATTTTCTTTTCAAACCCGGTATTCATAAACCACGCTCTTCAAGAACTTGTCAAATACCTTTAGGCTTTACACCATCAGCATCTGTGAATGTCATGATATGAGGTGAACCATCAGTCATTCTACCATCACGAAGGAGTGATTGTTTGCCGCAATCTTTCATGTTCATTCTTAAAACCACCAATGCATCATCAGCAAATGCATTGTGATTGCAACTGTTATCAAACATAAACAGTGCAATTTTTTCCGGGTGAGTACGTTCAAATATTGGAATAGCCCGCTCTTTTACCTGGTTAACAACATCTTTATTTGTCCACCAGCTATCACAACTTGTATCAGGATACATTGTAATGCAAGCTTCAGTATAAACAAGCCGCTCACCATCAGGAAGCAAATTGTTAGCGGAATAATCCTCTTCTAAAAGCTGAAGTCGTCCAATAGACTCACAGAAAAAGTCACTTACGTGAATACTAAGGCCTTGTGACTTGCGACAAAGTCTATTCTCATCCGCCGAATCCCAAGCTTTGACAATATCATCATTGGCATAAAAGATTGATTCATCATGAGTAACTGGAACAATCTTAGGAGCATCATGGGGAAGTACAGGTAAGATGATTTGGTCCAAATTATTGCCTTTGTAAGTAGCAATTCATTTTCGTAATTCCGCCTATTGTTGCAAAAATCGACTTCTATCTGCAATTACATCTTCACGTTCATGACCATCAAAGTAAATGTTCTTTGAGTGGTCTTTATATTGCTAGCCAAGAATATGTAGCCATTTGCGTGCAGTTGAATGTGAGATACTTGTCTTTTCTTCTATTCTAAGGGCAAGGATAATCTCATCCTCAATGAATTTTACGAAATCAGCAACATTCAACTTGAATTTATACGCACGTAGATATTCAGTAACTCGCAATTTAACGTCTTCATGCAAAAGAAGAGATCTGATTTTTGCATGGCGTCCAAGATTAGATGTAGCAATCATGCCTTTATTAAACCATTGGTTCGCCCAGGAGCAGATAAGCCACGCTTGCCATGAACCTTTGTTCAAACTCTGGGCAAGAAGATTACTTGTATCCATCTTGCTGTATCCTTGGTCCTGGACTAAATGGAAAAATTGACTTACCATTTGAAGCTGCAAATCATCATTCTTTTTTTTTAATAATAAATCCAGAGATTCTAAGGTGAATTCGTTATTATCATTATTACTGCTATCACATGTATCATCAAATGCGGGATCATCATTATCTGTATTAGGCTCAGCAGCTTCATTTGTTGAAAACATTTCGGTAATTTTCTTAGAATCCGAAGCTGCTTTTCGCCAATATGCCCTCTTGTTACGTAATGTTGACTTTGCTTACCATTATATACTGGCCCACGTGAATTTACAGCCCATATATGTGACTTTGCACTTTCGATCAATTGTTCTAATATATTTGGTTTCCATGCTTGCATTTCATCTGTAATTTCTTCACTCTCAAAACGCATTTCCTCACCCTCTATCCAAAAAGTACCAAACCATGATTCATCAAACTTATCCAGTTCAGCATCTGATGGTTCAAATACTACTTCTTCAGAACCTTTTGCTTGCTTCCAACATTTCTTGATAGCTTCTCGAGACTGTCTGATTCGTTTATTTGATTTCGGCATTCTAATTCTATTAAATTGAAATATAGTGTTAAAACAAGTTATTGCAAATGATGTAAAATGACGTGAGATTTCACGATTTAACTACCATCACATGTTATACTTTTGACCAATGAAATTGCGAATTTAATATAGAAATGATCGGCAAAATTTTCAGTGGTGGCTTAGCCATTTGATGTGACTAAGCCGTTTGCACTATATTTATATTGTGTTATAATAAATACATTAGATTTGGCAATAAAATTAAACAAAACATTCAATTTTATTATTGTCGATCTTTAATTTTTTTTGTTTACTGCGCTATTTCAATGCTCCAGTTTATACCGCAAAAAATGTTAAGAATTGGATTATACAAAAAAAGATTAAGATTCTTCTAGATTGGCCCTCTCAATCTCCGGATCTTAATCCTATTAAACATTTGTAGCATGAACTTGAATGAAGGCTTTGAAAACGAATTATACATCCAAAAATCTTCATGAACTTGAAGAAGCATTAAAAGAAGAATGGGAAAGAATCTTATCTGAAACTTATATAAATTTAATTGAAAGCATGTCACATCGAATTGAAGCATGCATTAAAAATAATGGATAGCCAACTAAATACTAAGCATTATTTATAATTTAATATACAGTCAACCCTCTATGTAGTCACACCCTATATAGTCACACCTCTTTATAAGCACTTATTTTTGTAGAACGGATTTTGATACTATTAAATTACCTCTATATCGGCTTTAATCACTATCACCCAAAATTTTCTAACGTACATTTCATTTTTATTAATAATTAAACTCCTATTAATCACATGATTTTTATTTATAAAGGATTTTATGTAATACTCACAATGCTCCGATACACATTCTTTATAAAACCACCTACCTGACTAACATCACTATTCAATCCCTCTCAAACACTACAGCACATCTTCAACCTTATGATCAAGGTATCATAAATAGTTTTAAGGTGAGAAATGTAATTGATTTAATAATTCTTTAGTTAAAATATAATTGATATTAACTTTATTTTCAGAATTTACTCAAAAATTCCGTAATGTTAATCAATTCTAACTCAGTTTATCAGCCAAATTTCATGGAATTCTTCGTCAGAAATATGTACACTTTCAGTAATATTTGTAATGCAAATTTTTCAGCCTCATTTTAAGAAGACCTGCGGAAAAGTTTTTTTATTCACATTTTCCATCCAATTTTTTTTACAAAACTTTCATTCTAAAAGAGAATGAAATATTATGACATTAGTTGACCTAAAATAAAAATATTTTGGATTAATATGATTATTTTAATTACTATTTAGCCTACTTTCATAGAAATTTACTCCCAAATAAAAAGAATCAAAAGAATTCTGATTTTATCTTTGGCTTACCAAATATTTCTTCCAATACCCTTCAAGTTGTTTTAAAGAATACATTTTATAATGGGATTTTTTATTGGATAAATGGATCCTTCAAATGCATTTAATAATATCATTTATGCGATTCGCATTATCGTCACATTAAAACTTAAATCTGCAGCAATTACAACATGAAAAAAACCTCTTCTTAACAATGTCTCCTATTAAAAACAACAAATCAAAACAGCACCATTCAGCCATAAGTGATGATATAAAGCATCAATTATGTGAGTGGTCAGAGGCAAATAAAAGCAAGCGGCACGTAGATATTGCAAACCATTTCAATGAAGTGTATTCTAACTTGAATATGGATAGAAACACAATTACAAAGAT